ATGGATTCACTGGGGTTCCTCCCGCTGGCCTTCCTCCTGCTTTAGTGCTTTCCACAGGCAGTTACATTTCAGCCCCGGTCCTCAGAGCTGGTGCGGCCACCTGCTAGGGTTGCGGAGATGCCACGCCTCCGAGGTGCATGCTGGCACTGCCCTTCCCTTCAGGAAGGGTGCCTGGACTGCACTCACCCTGGACCCTCCTATTTTGAAATGCAGTTTCACTTTCAAACCACTATCATCCTTCTTTGCCTAAGCTAATCTCAAGCAATACACAGCATAGGGTTTAGCGAACATTAGTCAACTCTTCATTAGCAGAGGGAGAACGACGTCCTGAGATCAGATCCTGGGTTTGCTAGGGAGTATCTGTTTGACTCTGAACAGGTCGTCTAACTTTTCTGGGCATCAGTTTCCTTATCTGTAATAAGGAGAAGATAATAGTGAGTTCCTCAAAGTAGTGCTGTGAGGAATAAATACCAGAATGTACATCAGAGCTTGACGCTCGATATGCACACTAGAAATAGTAGCTATTATTACTGTGCCCATTAGGTACAGAGCTTTGTACAGAAGCTATAAGGAAAAAAACAAACAAAATATTCAGTAAGCAGAGACACACACACGTTAAATAAGAGTGGCTATGCCTGGGCAGAAGGGTGGACACATTTTCTTTCCTTTTTTTTTTTTTTTTTTTTTTGAGACAGGATCTTGCTCTGTTGCCCAAGCAGGAGTGCAGTGAAGATCAGGGCCCCCTATAGCCTTGACCTCCCAGGCTCAAGTGATCCTCCCCACTCAGCCTCCCAAGTAGCTGGAACCACAGCTACCATACCTGGCTAACTTTTCTTATTTCTCAGCAGAGATGGAGGTCTCACTGTGTTGCACAGGCTGGTCTCGATCTCCTGATCTCAAGCAACCCTCCTGCCTTGGCATCCCAAAGTGCTGGGGTTGCAGGCATGAGCCACCATGCTTAGCCCACATTTTTCTTTTGATCTTATATTCTTTATAAGTAACACAGAGACTTCTAGCTGTTCCCTCAAAATCGGTCCTCCCCTTCTTCCATAGTAGCTGGTACATGGCTTCCCAGCTTTCCTTACAGCTAGTGTGGCTTGGACCCAAATTCTCTCCAATAGAATGTGTAGAAATGACGTGTGCCACTCTCAAGTTTGACCCACAGAGACTCCATATATTCTACTCCATGCTCTTTCCTCCTTTGTAGGGGCTAGATTAGTGATGGCAACTACCAAAGTGATTCCAGAAACTGAGTTTAAGACAGCGGAACTGCCCCCGCCTGGGAGGCAGAATGACTGTGTGAAGCAGGGTCCCCACCCAACCTTTCCCTCCGAAGCACCTCCTTCACATTTTTACTAAGACACATCTATTGGGCGAACCACTATGCTTTGAGTTTATTTGTTAGAGCAGGTTAGCCTACTTAATTAATACAAAGTCCTTTTAAAATACAGACGTAAAGCTTTTGACATGTAAAGAAGTATTTCAACAGGTCTGCAAACATAAAGGCCTAAATAAAGAGAATATGTTAATCCCACCCCACAGTCTCCACGCCTTCCACTCTCCAATTTATGTTGCACTAGGTGAGGGTGCACCCTCCTCATACACACCATCCTGACCTGCTAATCTCGCCCTACTAACTTTTAATGGCTACCCATTCCCACAGAAAAAAATGACACATACATTTACAAGTATTCAGTCAGCCAGTAGGTATCAAACACCCCGTATGGGTTGTATATCCTATTAGTAATGGGGCATTGTAGTGAACAAAACCAACGTTGCCCCTGCCCCCAGGGGAAACAATCGGGGTAGGGAACAGACAGCTACATACAGTGAAGTAAATATATGCCCCAACAATAGGGCACAGACTGCCCGGCAGCACCCAGAACACCAACAAAGCTACCCCTCCCAGTCCAGACTCCTCAGCACAGCATGCAAAACCTATAGGGATCGGCCGGGTGTGACGGCTCATGCCTGTAATCCCAGCACTTTGGGAGGCCAAGGTGGGCAGATCACCTGAGGTCAGGAGTTCAAGACTAGCTTGGCCAACATGGTGAAACCCTGTCTCTACTAAAAATACAAAAAATTAGCCAGGCGTGGTAGCACACACCTGTAATCCCAGCTACTTGGGATGCTGAGGCAGGAGAATCGATTGAACCCAGGAGGCGGAGACTGCAGTGAGCCAGTATCTCACCATTGCACTCCAGCCTGCGCAACAAGGTTGGAAATTCCATCTCCAAAAAAGAAAAAAAAAATCCCACATGATATACCCCAAACCCACCTTTCCTCCCCCATTATTTCCTCCTCCCCCAAATAATCGCACCCCCATTATTTCCTCATTCTCCCATCTCCAGCTACCTGGAACTTATGTGCCATTTCTGAATGAGCCACGTCCTTTCACTCATCCACACTTCAGGCTTTTCCCCAGAGCCTGGAATGCTCTTCTATCCTTTCTTTCAAAATTCTAATTATCCTCAAGGCTCAGATCAAATGTCACCTCTTCAGCAAAACCAGCCCCAACCCCCAAGTCAAAATTAATCATCCCCTCCCTTGTTTGAGAGAGTAAAACAGCTAACCACAGGACTGAATGCAATACGTCAGGTATTTCATTCAGTCCTGTGGTTAGCTGTTTTACTCTCTGTCCACTCACACCCGCCAGCTGCTCAGGGAGATGCTGTGTCTTGGTCATTTGTCTGGGACTCCCAGCATTGAACACATAGTTACACACAGAGTGGCCACGCAAGAAATGCCACATTGAGTGGACAGGCAAGACAGGTCAGACACAGGCAATGGGTGTGAAACCTGCTCTATGCGGCAGGGTGGGTTCTGGTGTGATCACAGTAGGTAGGCTTGGGAAGGCTTCATAGAGAAAGTGAGTTTTAGGGGAAAAGAAATATTCAGACACAGGCAAGAGGTGAGAAGAAGGCAGAAGGTTTAATACAGTCTACATAAAGGAGAGCAAACAGGTTAGTTGGAATGAAGTATCTGGGCCGTAGAAGACCAGAGGGAAGGGACACAAGGGGCAACACCTCCTGGGAGGAAAGTCATAAGGACCCAGTGAGAACAGGTGGGAGCCTCAAAAATGATCCTCTAGGAAAAGGATGAGCTTAAACGGGAAGCTGGAAGAAATAATCAACCAAGAAGACACCAACTGTGTGGGAAACCATCAGGACCTGGGCCAAGACAGTAGCCGTAGAAACAGGAAGGAAAGAAAGAAGCTGGAATCTGTGCTATGGGGAAAGCCAAGAATTGAGAAACTATGTGAATGCAGAGATCAAAAAGAGCAGCGATACCAAGATTATACCCAGGTCACATCCCGGGAGGAAAGATGATCTTGCTGATCAACATATTACATTTCAGGGATCAGTACAGTGCTAGAGTAGTGTAACACAGGGAGACCTTCCCAGAGGTCAGGCTGAAGCTACACCGAGCAAGATTCTGTGGCAGCAGGTATCAGGAGAGTCATCAATGGGTCACAGGACTGTCAGGTGAAAAGGCACTGGCTGGTGACACCACAGAAACTCCCTGCGGAGTTCATAGGAGGCCTCCAGCCAGGACAGGATATGTTGGGGTACAATCAAGATTTCCCCAAGTTGTGCTTTCCCCACTTGTCTTTTTTTTTTTTTGTCAGTCTCTTTGCCCCCTCCCTCTTCCGCCCTTATTATGATTACTCAAGGGCATTGTTTTCAAAGTTCTACCTCATCCCACCCTCATAACTGGTACCCAGGTTTCAGAGAACTGCACAGCTCTATGGGGAGTCATTCACATGGGCTATAAAGTGAACAGCAGCTCCTGAAGCTGTACAGTGCACCATCCGTGCAAACCCAGGCCACGGCCCTGCGTGATCCAGACATAGTCAATGTGTGTGGACCATCACAGCAGCGTGCCGCAAACATAGGGTCCCAGAGTGAAAAGTAAAGACTAAAAGCATTACCACCGGGTGTGGTGCAGCGTGCCGAGAATCCCAGCACTTCGGGAGGCTGAGGTGGGAGCATCACTTGAGCCCAGGAGTTTGAGGGTTCAGTGAGCTGTGCAGTGCCACTGCACTCCAGACTGGGTGGCAAAGTGAGACCTTGTTTCAAAGATAAAATCACACCTGTGATCCCAGCACTTTGGGAGGCCGAGGCGGGTGGATCACGAGGTTAAGAGATCGAGACCATCCTGGTCAACATGGTGAAACCCCATCTCTACTAAAAATACAAAAAATTAGCTGGGCACGGTGGCACGTGCCTGTAATCCCAGCTACTCAGGAGGCTGAGGCAGGAGAATGGCCTGAACCCAGGAGGCGGAGGTTGCGGTGAGCCGAGATCGCGCCATTGCACTCCAGCCTGGGTAACAAGAGCGAAACTCCGTCTCCAAAAAAAAAGCAAAGCACCAGAATCAGGAACGATAGAAGAGATGCCATAAAACTAACTGGAAGATAGGGAAGCTCTCTGCACACTGCCTGAAGCTGAAAGCAACGTGGCTGGACGAGCTCTCTTAGGGAGAGTTCAGAAAATCCCTTCAAGGTGAAGGAAGAAAACATAGTAGCTAGCAAGGCTGGTTCACCAGCAGCAGGAGTGAAGGGGGTTAGAGTAGTGTGGGCCCCTGGTGTTCCCAGCAGGGGAGTGGCTGTAGAAGGCCTCCCCTGGGACCCTCTGGCCATAAGTGCAGAGTAGTCATTTGCCCTGTGTGCAGCTGGGACCTGGATGGGATGGACACGGCACAGCACGCGCTCTGTAAAAGGCTCAAATCTGCCTTCTCCAGGGGCTTGGAAGAGAACCCCAGGCCAGGTCACAGGAATCATCTCGTCCTGGCTGACACTGACCACAAGGATCCAAGAGTATCAAAGCGTTTAAGGGTCAGCCCTGGGGTACCACGGTGGGCACTTAATAAACATATTTCCGTGGCTGGCTAGGATCACCATGTGGATCTACGTGAAGATGGTGCCTGTGTGTGGAGTGAATGGAAAATGGAGAGGGGGAAAAAACCCACAAAAGATTCCTTGGGTGGGGGGAGGGCACTGGGCCAAAACCTCACAGGGCACCGAGGGTTTCCGGAGGGTGGAAGACCAGGGGACGGTAAGGGAGGAAAAGTAACAGGTAGAAAAAGTTGGAGAAGCCAGGCTCTTCGGTCTTTGTGTATCAGTATGCAGCCAGGCAGCTTCAAGAAAAGCTAAAAGAAACGACTGAGGCAGAAGACCCAGCCAGCACGAAAATGACGGCAGGGCTCGCACGCCGATTTCCATCGTAACGCTCAGGGCCACGCTGTGACCTTCGTGGAAGGAAGTTGGAGGATTCTGTCGCTTCCCTGGAAAGGCAACTCCGCGCGGGCTCGGGGAAGAGCGACGCGGCCGGCGGCGGCTATGGCGGGGCATCTCCCAGGCTCACATTTCCGCTCCCGAGCCGGGGACGCGGGCCGGGACCGCAGCACCTTCCGGGCCGGGAGTTCAAGGTGAGCCGGGTTCCCGGCGGCCAACAGGTAGCGAGGGCCGGGGAAAGCCGGCCCCGGGCCACTCCCCCCGGCACATGTCGGGGGCGAGGCTCGGCCTGGCGGAGCGGCCACTTGCACCCCTCGCGCGGGGCCCGGGCGGATTCGCGCCAGGCTCCGGGCGGCCCCACGGCCGCTCCCCTCCGGGCCGAGCCGCCCGCGCTCCCCGGCCGGGTTTCCCGGGAGCGGCCCGGGCACCCTCCGCACCCCAGGCCGCGCGCCGCAGCCGCGCCCCGCCGAGCCCCGCGCACACTCACCCAGCCACAGGAGCGCCAGCAGCAGCGGCCTCGGCGCCAGGCGCCCCATGCTGGCGCGGCGGGAGCGACTCTCCCCTCCTCCTCCTCCTTCCCCGCCGCCTCTCCTCCTCCTCCTCCTCCAGCTCCGGCTGCTCCAGAGTCCGCGCTCCTCCGCCCGGGCCGCGCGCCTGCTCCGCTCTCCCCGCGAGCCGATAAATCCCAGCGCTGGGGCGGACGTGCGCCCCTGGCTCCGCTCGCTCCCTCCCGCCTCCTCCCCTCCCTCCTCCGGCCGGCCGGGCCCTGCAGCCGGCCCCGCCGCTCCGAGTGTGCAGCCCCGACCGCTTCCCGAAAGCACAAGGGAAGAACCGCAGCGCCCTCCCGCCCGCCCGCGCCTCCCATCCGGCGCTTTGCCAGCAACAAACACAAACTTTCCCAAGCCCCTCCCCGCTCCAGGTAACGGAGAACGCGCCGGGGCCACCCGCTTAAAGGCGAGGAGGCGTCGGAGCCCACCCTGCCCTCCCCTCCGGGCCCCCGCCCACGAGAAACTTTCCTCCGACCTTTAAAAGTTGGCCTGGGAAAGACTCGTCTGGAAATCCCATCGCTTTGGCCCTATCCCGGGACACCCTGCGTTCCATCACTCTGCAGTCACCCACGCGTGTCCAGTCTGTCCTCAGCCAACTCCCCGCTGGTTCAGCCTCTGGTCCTGAGCTAAGCACCCCACCAACCAGCCACTCGGCCTATGCCAAAAATTATCCAGATAGGAGTGAAGGAGCTGAAAGGACTTTCAAAGGCCACGGATTCCAACCTCTGTCATACAGAGGCCTTACGTGTTTCGGTGAGGTGCAGGAAGGGGCGAGATCCGAACCCTGCTCTCTTGACTCTGCCCACACCCCGGTGGGTGGGCTTGCCTCCTCCTTGCCCAGCTCCCTCCCTCTCCTTGGCGCCTGTGGCCCTGATTGGAACAACTCCCCACAAAGACACCCATTTAAAAAAACGAACACACCAACAATACCCAAGTGCATTAATAGCTGTAGTACTTCACATAGAATGTGCTCTTAAGATTTCATATCTATTGCTCTAACTGGACACAACTGGTTGCCAGTAAATATTCTTCCCCCCTCACAATATTTTGTGCTTTTGATTTGATTACAAAAGGCCCCACGGTATTGGGAGGTATGGAGCACTTCTTGTTAAAACTTAGCAAACATGATTCAAACAGTCAAGGAGCAGCACTGGTGCCCCCTGCCCTCACCAGGCTTTCATTCACACCTGCAAATGCTCCTGTGGAACTGCCACGCTGGGGAAGAGCACTGCTGTTACTCTTACGCGTTGCTCTTTCAACCAACAAGTGTTTCTTATTTCCACTATCAAATGGGTGATTAGTCAGGTATGAACCCTTGGGAAAGAGGCTTAGAAATTCACTCCTGGTGGTGCAACGTTATTGTACTTAATGCCACTGAATGGTACACTTAGAAATGTTTAAAATAGCCAGGCATGGTAACTGGTATCTGTAATGTCAGCTACTCAGAAGGCTGAAGTGGGGTGGGGGGCGGGGGCAGTGTTGCTTGAGGCTAGGAGTTTTATTTGTTTTGTTTTCTTTCTTTCCTTAGTTTTTCAGACAGGGGCTCGATCTGTCACCCAGGCTGGAATGCAGTGGACCAGCCCTCAGGCAGGACCCTACTTACCCCACACCCAACATCCTCCCACCTCTGTCTCTCAAGTAGCTGGGACCACAGGTGTGTGCCACCACACGCCAGCTAATTGTTTTTATTTTTTATTTTTTGTAGAGATTGGAGTCTCCCTATGTTTCCCAGGCGGGTCTCAAACTCCTGGGCTCAAGTGATTCTCCCGCCTCGGCTTCCTAAAGCACTGGACTGGGATTATGGGTCTGAGCCACTGAGCAGGCACTTTTTCTTTTTTTTTTTTTTTTTGGCTAGAAGTTTGAGAACACTTGGGCAACACAGTGAGACACTGTCTCTTAAAAATTTTTTTTAAGGTTAAAATGGTAAATTTTGTGTTATTTACATCTTACACAATCATTTTTAATTCATTTCTGCCACGAAGCCTTTCCTGGTTCTGTTCATACACACTGTAATTCCTTTCTCTGCCCCATCCCAATTCTTCCCTAGAATTTCGCAGGGAAGTTTTCCAGTTTCATTCAGTCAACCCTGAATGCCACCCTAATGTTAGGCCTTGGAAGACAGCGGAGCTTCAGAGAAGTATGAGGTCTGGCACCTCCGGAAGCTCAGATTTCAGCTCATCCTCCCTCTTGCCTTTACCACACAGAACACCTAATGTCTGAACCACACATTGTGGCACTTAGTCACATTCAGTTTAGCAAAACATGTACACTGCCCCCATGTCTGTCTAACAATACATGGGCCTCAGAGGCTGTCACATGTTCACCTTGTAGCCCACCTTGTGGCAGAGTAGATGTGTTTTGTTTTGTTTTAAGAGACAGGGTTTCACCATGCTAGCCAGGATGGTCTCAATCTCCTGACCTCGTGATCCACCCACCTCGGCCTCCCAAAGTGCTGGGATTAAGGTGTGAGCCACCGCAGCCTGCCTGGCAGAGTAGATGTTTTAACAACTCTTTTGTTTAATAAGCAATGCGTGTCAGGGACTGTCCCTAGCACACAGTAGGTCCTAATGTATATTTACAGAGGGAATTAATGGCAGATACTAGGCTGTATCCTGCAAGTACAGGTATGAATCAGACAGGTCCTGCCCTTGAGGAGCCTACAGTTTGTGCATTGTGTAGCATGTGCAAGGTAGAGTCGTGATACCGCAAGGGAGTGGTCAGTGCAGGAGGAGGCTGTCAGAGAAAGCGTCACAGACGGGATGCCTGTGCAGTGAGTCTTGAAAGATCGGTATGTCTTTAGCTGTGGAGTCCAGGGATAAGCTCACAGTAGACGTTCTGTATTGAATGTGATAGAGATTCCTCTCTCCTCACCCACCCCCAGGTGTTATTAAATTAATGGTGCATCTTACAATTGTGGAAATAACAGTAGTTAACAGTTGAAATGATGAGAATAAATAAAATTGTCTAGGTAAGGCAGGTAGGATGAGGACTGAAGTGGATAGCCTGCTTGTGGCCGGCAGTTACCTGTCATGGGAGTCAACCTAAAGAGCCATTTTTGTAACAAAAAGTAAGCATAAATTAATAATTCTAGACTATTGGTTATCCACCACACCCTTTGCGCTTCCCTGACTACCAATGGATAAAGGAAGACGCACTCACAATGGACTGGCACAGTTTGTTAATTCATGACTCGGAATCTGATGATGCTTTTATTATGAAAGATATTTATTTGCCAGACTGAGTAACCTATACAGGTATAGGTTTTTGCCCCAACTAATTGTTCTCCTGTCTTAGTCTATGGGCTTGCCTGGGGCAGGAAGACTCACTCTCCAGCAATTCTAATTGATTCACTCCCATCCCCAAGGAGGTTAAGACATGGGTTTCTTTTATCCAGTCATCGTGCCCTCAGGGGCACTGGTCACAGCAGTCCGACATTACAGCCTTTTGGTCACGCATGTCTTTCTGCAAGGTGATACCCCTAAATCCTCACAGAAGTCCTCATACTATTTTGCCAAACAAGTTTCCCTGCTGAGATCAGACAAAAACATCATCATATTATTTAACTTTGTGAATGAAAATGTTAAGAGTTTCCCTGTGAATGAAGTTGCCAATTGTTCTAAGATTCACCTAGACTTGGGTTGGTGCCCTGCCCACCTCCGGCGCCTGTACAGTCTCCAAAGGACCCTGATCCCTGCTTCACTTCAGCAGGGGCTTAGGGGAAGGAGTATATTCCATGGCAAGGTTTCATCCCACTAATCACTTTCACTCACAGTCTTCCTTATTCCGTGTCCAGGTGTATATTTCCCAAGTTAAAGTTAAAGAGGGATTGCTAAGCAAAAAGAAATTTAGAATTAAATTTCTTAGATTAGAGGATGAAATTGAAAGTTAGAAAGGGAGGGGTGGGGAGAGGAGGCCTTCATTTCCCCATGAGTGAGATTCCTGCAATGCTGGTGAGGTTACGGGGGAAGCTGTAGAATGCTCATCTGACAAGTTTCAAAACAACAAGGGACCTCATCTGTTTGGTGTGGGCTAAGCAAGGTCCTGCCTGTGGGCTGGTCCTGCTCCTTCACCACTCAAATATCAATCCTCCTAATCTTTTCTTCAGCCCTAAAAGACTGACATGGGAGATGGTGGAGAAAGTGTTCTTAAATGACTTAGAACTATTCCAGATTCCACCTCTGCCGGGCCAAAGGTGCCTCCCTGGGCACCCACCCCACATAGCATCACTTCTGTAGGAACACTGGGGTGGAGAAGTACCAGGAAAAAATAAGGAAATGGATGGAGTTTGAGGCTTTTGCAATAAAAGCTCTCCCCAAGACTATTTCCTGTGTTATGAGCAGACAAGGCCCTTGCCCTGGAGAAGCTTATCATCTCATTTAATGCAGGAAAACCCTGAATACAGTGAAGGACGGGAGGAGATGGAAACCACAAGAGCAAAGGGAATGGAAAGAAGGTAAATATACCTAGAGGCATAATCATTATGTGTTATATTCTGCAAATATGCTATCATCTGGGATGGAAGTATCTCCTCAAATAAACAGAGACTGCAGTCCACTGTGAAAAAGAGGGGCTGACACATTAGAAATGGCTGGAGGCACTGTGGGCATTGGGGTAAGTTTTTTACCTAAGGTTAGGGCTGCCAAGTGGGATGGTGCCCAAAGGTGCCCCCATCAAGCCAACATTGTGCCCTGTCACTGAGCTGCTATGCCCAGGAGAGGCTTTATCCCCTCACTGGAAGGGAGTTTACCCCAGTCTTCACACATAAATTGGGAGAGGAGTCAGGAAGAGGAGGAGAAAGATGTCCTCGTCCTTTCACCATTTCCCCACTTGTCTTTCTCACCCCACATGAGCGGCACTTCTGGGTTGAACTAGAATATGATCTTAAGTTCTAGGCACTATATATATATATATATATATATATATATATATATATATATATATGTATAAAAGATGGGGTTTCACCATGTTGGTCAGGCTGGTCTTGAACTCCCAACCTCAGATGATCCACCCACCTTGGCCTCCAAAGGGCTTGGATTACAGGCGTGAGCCACCAGGCCCAGCCCAAGGAACTATATTTTAAAAACAACATTTACAAATGAAAATGCCTCTAGAGTAGGGAGAGTTGCTGGCTAAAATACAGAATGCCTGGTACAATTGGAATTTCAGATAAATAAGAATAACATTTTTAGTATAAGTAGGTCCCAAATATTACATGGAGCATATTTATACTAAAAACGTATTCCAGGGCCGGGCGCGGTGGCTCACGCCTATAACCCCAGCACTTTGGGAGGCCGAGGTGGGTGGATCATGAGGTCGAGAGATCGAGACCATCCTGGTCAACATGGTGAAACCCCGTCTCTACTAAAAATACAAAAATTAGCTGGGCATGGTGGCACGTGCCTGTAATCCCAGCTACTCGGGAGGCTGAGGCAAGAGAATTACCTGAACCCAGGAGGCGGAGGTTGCGGTGAGCCGAGATCGCGCCATTGCACTCCAGCCTGGGTAACAAGAGCGACACTTCGTCTCAAAAAAAAAAAAAAAACAAAAAAACACGTAATCCTCGTTTATCTGAAACTCCAATTCAACTGGGCATTCTATATTTTTATGTGTGAAATCAGGCAACCCTCATCAAGAAAAGAGTTCCCTTATATGGAAAGAGGTTCCTCTGGAAGCTTTGGAGAAGGCAACAGGAATCTCCAGGAGTTATCTTCAGATTGTTTTTTAAGTATTGCACTTTAAGGAGGAGTAGACTTTGATTTGAGGTCTTACTCTGAGTCACTGGGTAAAAATTGCTAAGAGACAAAATCGGCCTAGTTTGCAATAACCGCTTAGCTCAGCGATGAGGGGAGTTCCATTACACAGCAGTGTCCTTTCCTCTCTAAAAAGCATCCAGCCTGAGGTTAAATGCCTACCTCTAAGGCATGAATGCCCCTCTAAGGGGACATTAGGTGGAGCCATGGAGAAAATGACCTTGGAGGAAATCCTTTCCAATCTCAAGATTTCGAGACTTACCTAAATCCAGCCAAGAGGATCTCTTTTCCAGTCCGTCTTCCAAAGTTCAGTCTTTGTCTTTGCTGCACTTCTCTTCCCCTTACTGAGGGCTGAGCTGAAGGGTGTGCTCTCCAGCACTAGAGAACAGAGAAACTCATAGATAGACGCCATGGTTTTATTATGAAAAACTGGGATTACAACTCCTGCTCCCTAGATACTCTCTGCTAGAGAGGACTCACAGATCAGTTATTCTAAAATGGAGCCATCATTTTGGGGATTTTTGAGTTACTTTGTATTATGTGTTATTTTGTAACTCACAATTCCCATCAGCCAGTCACTTGTTGCCCAGGCATACTTTGCAAGATTTTGCAACGTTGTCTATCTTGGAGGGTGTACATGGAATGGCATTTTGCACAGTCAGCCATTTCATGGGTACTTTAAAGAATGGTTGTTCATCCTCCTGCAGAAGAAGCAGGTTTGTTGCACCTGCTTTCATACTTTTTTCAGCTTTAAATTATTGCATCCATGCTTTATGATACAAAGCTTATGAGGTTTCAATCACACACTGACCTCTGGGTTAGAAGGTAAAGTTACTTTCTGAGGAGAATCTTGGGTGTCCTGCCCATGGGAACACTGAAGTTCCACTTCTGAGTCACAGCTGGCTGTACTGATGTGGCCCCACCTAGAACAGTCACCATCTAGGTGATGATTTCAAACTTACTGCTCCTCAATATATATATATATATATATTTTTTTTTTTTTTTTTGAGATGGAGTTTCGCTCTTGTTACCCAGGCTGGAGTTCAATGGCATGATCTCGGCTCACTGCAACCTCCGCCTCCTGGGTTCAGGCAATTCTTCTGCCTCAGCCTCCTGAGTAGCTGGGATTACAGGCACATGCCAGCGTGCCCAGCTAATTTTCTGTATTTTTAGTAGAGATGGGGTTTCACCATGTTGACCAGGATAGTCTCGATCTCTTGACCTCGTGATCCACCCGCCTCGGCCTCCCAAAGTGCTGGGATTACAGGCTTGAGCCACCACACCCGGCCTCCGCAATATTTTTTAAATGATCAGCTGGGAGAAACAGTTTATGGACGACTATTGAAGTAAATGCAGTCTGTACATTTTTCTAGACACCGAAAGATCTACCCCTAAATTATGAATTAAGTAGAACATCAGTGGGCTCAGTTCCTGCATATACTATCCTGGCACCCTCATAAAGTTGCTGTTACTGAATTGCATTTTGTCACGATGCCATCAGCCTATATTGACGGGTGTCCTAAGAAACAGCTTTGTGCGCTTCGTCATTTTGTTTCCCAGAAGGACAGGTTTATAGATGCTCTTCGTTAAATCAGGCAACAGCCTCTCTACTTAAGTCACATGGAGGAATTTCACTCTCATCTCAGTATCACAAATAGTTGTGCTTGTCCTTAGTGACTAGTTTCTTTTTTCCTGTTGATTCTGTAAATATTGTAACTGGTGGTGTTTTCCTTTTCATGGTAGCGATTAGAAAGGTTATAACCAATTCTGTGGCCTCCCTCTAGCAAATGAATAAAACTTGTTTTGTTTTGAGACAGAGTCTTGCATTGTCACCCAAGCTGGAGTGCAGTGGTATATACAATCACGGCTCATTGCAGCCTCAACCCCCTGGGCTCAAGCGATCCTCCCATCTTAGCCTCCCAAGTAGCTAAGACGAGACATGCACCACCATGCTCAGTTAATTTAAAAACAAAAAAATGTAGAGACAGGGTCTCCCTGTATTGCCCAAGCTGTTCTTGAACTCAGGCCTCAAGCAGTTCTCCTGCCTCAGCCTCCCAAAGTGCTGTGATTCCAGGCATGAGCCACAGTGCCCGGCCTTGAATTGGACTTGTAGCATAAGTTTTGCATAACCTCCCTTCTAGCTCATCCTTACCTTGCCATCATTATTTTCCCTTTCCCACATTTACTATATTTTTTCATGTTCATGTCTTTTATTATGTCCATGCAGTTGTACAATGCAGGAACTCCTTCCTACTGTAAAATTCTAGTCCACGCCTCCTGCCCTTCAAGACACATTTTAAATTCTAACTCCTCATTTGCAGATTAAATGCAATGAGGTAATAATCACAATGAGCTCTGCTTCCAGGGAAAGACCGGAATGTGATTAGGCTGTGTCAGCCGCCCTACAACTCAAGGCACTTGTGATGAGAAAGGGCACTGCCACCCACTAGAGTCACAGGAGCTCCTGGAACGATGTCGTTTCCAAGAGCAGCAGACAGTTGACTCTCCTAACCCTGGAAAACTGCAGTGCTCTTCTGTCTGCACTGGGTTAGCAAACATTAGCGTTCGTTTGCTTTCTCTAAGCACATAGTGGTTGAAGGCTGGAGTGGGCTGAGTGTCCACGGCAGATGGACGGAAGTGTGCCCGATTCCACGCAGTCAACAGCTCAGGTGGTCCGTGGTCCAGCCAGCACGGAGCTGCTTATGGCTCTTGTGTACTCTGCCATTTCCTGCTGTCCCCTCCCTCGGAAATGCCTTTCACACGTCACATGGCCACTCCTGTAGGTTAGGTTCCCTTGAAAGCAAAGCTTGAGACACTAATTTGGCTGTGAGTTCTTTATTTGGGAAGTGATCTCAAAAAGCAGTGGTGAGGGAAGGGGAGAGCAAATCAGAGAACAAGAAGAAGTCAATAAATGTGTGTTATTGAGGTAAGCACAGCTGTGAACAAACCGTAGACTGTGCCTTAGAACTGTCCCTCAGGGGACAAGAGGCTCAGGTATTTACTCCCTGATTCTCCTGCCTCAACAGCTGAGCCTGGCCTCTAGGGCATCAATTCCTCCAGCTCTCTGATTGGCACCTGTTGGAGCCTATAGCCCTGAAGCAGACAAGTGGAGAGATAGGGGTGCGTGAGGTGGACCATCCCAGCATGCTCTAAACTGTTCGCTGGCCACATGGAAACCCCGGGAGGGGCCAAGGGATACAGCTATGCGTTACTTCTCCGAGGTCTCTCCCTATTTCTCCAGCTGCTGTCTCCACCATGTCCTGTGTGTCACCGGTTCTGCATCTGATACATGTCTCAGGGTCATGCATCTATCCTAGTTTATGTGTCTGTCTCCCCCAGTAGCATGAAAGTAGAGGCTGTGCTCCCCTCAACTTTGTATCCCAGGCACCCAGCACAATGTCCAAAACATAGTAGGTCTGTTTAATAAATGCTTCAGCTGTACTTACAATACTTCTGTGTTGATCTCTTTTATATATTGGAGTGCCACATAAAATTTTGTTTGGGGAAAAAGTAATCCAAAACCACTGATCTAGCCCAACCCCCTCATTTTATGGATGAGGCATCTGAGGCTCAGAGAACCTAAGTAACTTGTCCGAGATTACACAGTATATTAAAGTGATTATGGAATATTAAAACGATTTCACAGAGTACATCAAATGCAGACAAGGGAGCCAACTGGAGTTACATGTGAATTGCTAGCACTTCAAATGGAGGGTATGACCACCTCTGTGCTAGATTTTCACCAGGAAATTGCTTAAAATAAATTAGCTTGGAAAGCTCCCGAGCTCTGATTAAAGAAGTGAATGGCTTGAGTGAGGCTCTCTCTTCTAGGGGAAGAAATTCACCAGTTATAAACACATTTTCAGGTAACGTACCAAGAACTTTGAATCAGAATGAACTCATTTTGCATTCTCTTCCTCCAACCTGTTCATCTAACAATGGCAGCTATAGGGATAGTAGCATTTTCGTTTGTAATTTAAAAATGAGGTCTGGCATGTACTACTATCTCAATAAATTGTACCAGGTTGGTTGTCATTATTTTTAATGGCAAAAACCATAATTACTTTTGCACTGACCTAATAAAAGCCCTCTCCCAGCCCTCCCCCTTTCCTGTGCTCCCTTCCTGCCTCTAGCCTGTCTTGTGCTGCAGCATTTGGCACATGTGTGGCATACAGAATGCCAGGGACAGCCAAAACTTATGCTAAAAACTGAGAAAACCACTGTTCACTCTGTGCTAGTATTTTTTTTTAAGGTGAAATTCTTGATATTGGAGTTGGGGGTGGTGTCCTGTGAGTCATGGGAACTAGTCATTCCTTCCGAATGAAACAGTTAGGATTTATTTGAACAGACATATTCATACAAAACTTTTCTTATTTGCCCAGACATGGTTCAACATTGTTCCAGAAAAGCGGGGCTGGTGTAGTGTTTCCATGATCCTTGATGCCATGATGGAAAAGCGCTTGGTGAGTGTGAGGCAGACACCGATCCTTCTCTGTGTGGCCCATTCTCAAAGGGTTCCTTCTGACACTCACCTGAGCCAAATGATGAAGCGCGGTGCCGTGAAGTTTTTCATCAAGCAATGTGGAGTGGAGGTTGGGAGAAGCAGATGTGGAGTCAGACGCTGGGGGAACACCGCGGCTCTGCCAGTTACAAAAGCTGCTGACCTTGGGCAAGTTACTTAAGCTTTCTGTGTGCAGTTTCCACATCTATAAAAGGGACACAATAATAATGTTTATGGCAAAGGATTGTTCTGTGGATAACTGAGAAAGAATTTTAAAAAGTATTTATGTAGGCCAGGCACAGTGGCTCATGCCTATAATCCCAGCACGTTAGGAGGCTGAGGCAGACAGATCACTTAAGTCCAGGAGTTTGAGATTGGCCTGGACAACATGGCAAGACGCAGTCTCTACTAAAAATACAACAAATTAGCCAGGCATGGTGGCATGTGCCAATAGTCCCAGCTACATGGGGACTGAGGCAGGAGGACTGCTTGAGCCCAGGAGGTGACTGCAGTAAGCTCTGATCATGCCATTTCATTGTCGCCTGGGAGACAGAGCAAAACTCTCTCTCAAAATAAAATACAAAAAAATAAGTATTTATGTAATAGAAGCTGTTGGGTTGTCTCTCAATATTTCATGCTTCCACTCTACCTTCATCTTGACAGACAATCGGCTGTCTACCAGAATGCCAATGTGTCCCATTCCGCAGAGTGGTGATATCAGACGAATCGACTCTCCTGACAGAGGCTGTATTTCCAGCTCCCTTTCCATCTAGTTGTGGCTGCATGGTTGGCTTTTGCCACTGAGTGAGAGCAGAAATTATATGTGTAAGTTGATGGTGGGCAGGTTGAGAGGTAGTTGTATGGCTTCTCCATACTTTCGTCCTTGGTCTGCTAGTTAGAAGCAGAGGCCTAAGATAACAGAGCCACAAGATGGAAGAGAAATAAGAGTCCCTGAATCTCTGCATAGAAGAATGCTGCCCCCAACCAGGAGCATCTGCACTGTTCTGTTACAGTAGGGAGAAGTGAGCTTTGATGCTGTTAAGTCACTCAAATGTGGGGGCTTACTTACTACATCTGCTACAGCTACCCTAAGTAATACACTTCCCTTCTTCTTTTCTCTTTGCTTTGAATTTTATTTTATTTCAATTTTTTTTTAGAGACAGGATCTTGCTATGTTGCCCAGGCTGGTCTTGAACTCATGAACTCAAGTGATCCTCCCACCTTAGCCTCCCAAAGTGCTGGGATTATATGCCCGAATCACTGCACCTGGCCATCTCTCCTGTTTTCTAACAGAACCTCAGTGTTATTGAGGGGTCCACCCAACCTCTGTTGAGCCATCTGCCTCAAGGGAGACTGGCTGAATCTCTAGTCCCGGTGGGTGATTCTGAGTGCCCTATACCTGGGCACTATGGGGTTCTAAACTTCAATTCTTCTGAATTTTATTTCTTGTCACTGATTGGCTTAAGCACAAATATACAAGGAAATTCTAGCTAATGAGATGAGAGGAAAGGTCTTCTGGGAGGGATTCTTAGAAAGGTCTTCTTTTTCTCACCTATAATCCCAGCACTTTGGGAGGCTGAGGCGGGTGGATCACGAGGTCAAGCAATCGAGACCATCCTGGTCAACATGGTAAAACCCCGTCTCTACTAAAAATACAAAAATTAGCTGGGCATGGTGGCATGTGCCTGTAATCCCAGCTACTCGGAAGGCTGAGGACGGAGAATTGCTTGAACCCAGGAGGCGGAGGTTATGGTGAGCCGGGATCGCGCCATTGCACTCCAGCCTGGGTAACAAGAGCGAAACTCTGTCTCAAAAAAAAAAAAAAAAAAAGAAAGGTCTTCTTTTTCTTATGTTAATGTAGCTGCTCTAGCTTTCTTAAGGTAATCACTTTTTAAACAATTGTTTTTGCCTTCTTTTTTATTTTTAGCTTTATTTAGGTATAATATACATATGATAAAATTTACCAATTTAAGCATAGAAATTGATGAGTTTTGACAAATGTAGACAGTCATATAACAACCACCACAATTACCATAAAGAATATTTCTATTTCCCCCAAAACTTCTCTGTGCCCTTTGTAGTCAGTTTCCTCCCTCCATACCCAGTCCCTGGCAACATGTGATCTGCTTTCTATTACTCTAATTTTGCCTCTTCTAAAATTTCATAGGAACTGGATCCTACAGATATATGGCTTTTTTCAGGTAGCATAATGCTTTTGAGATTCACCCACATGGTTGCCTGTGTCAGGGAATCGTTCCTTTCTGGTGCTGAAAAGCATTCCACTGCGTAGTTACAACACGTTTGTTTATCCACTCACCAGTTGAGGCATGTTTGGGTTATTTCCAGTTTAGCCTATTATAAATGAAGGTATTATGAACATTTACAAGCACATTTTTGACTATGACTATTATATTGTTGAGTATCTAGATTTTGCTGTCTTCCTTTAAAGAGTGATGAGCTTTGCAGGCCAGGCGTGGTGGCTCACACCTGTAATCCCAGCACTTTGGCAGGCCAAGGCAGGCGGATCACCTGAGGTCAGGAGTTCAAGACCAGCCCGACCAACATGGAGAAACCTCACCTCTAATAAAAATACAAAATTAGCCAGGCGTGGTCATGCATGCCTGTAATCCCAGCTACTCAGGAAGCTGAGGCAGGAGAATCGCTTGAACCTGGGAGGCAGAGGTTGTGGTGAGCTGAGATTGAGCCGTTGCACTCCAGCCTGGGTAAAAGGAGTGAAAATCCATCTCAAAAAACAAAAACAAAAAAACAGTGATGAGCTTTGCATGGGTAGTTACCTTTATATCGGCTTATTTTGAGGATTCTTTTTAAGCTGGGTTAAGGCAGATAGCCTTTCCTCTAGGGCTGGTGTAATCTTACTACTAAGGCGCAATCTTTCTGGGGTCTCTACTGAATACCCAGGTATTCAGTGAAAACTCTCCACCTAACCTGACTAGAATACTAACAGTTATCACTCCTGCGTGAACACTGGGAATTGTCCAGCTCATAGATCTTCAATGATTATTTTATTGCCAGTTCTTGTGCAGTTTTTTTTTTTTTTTTTTTTTTTTTGAGACAGAGTTTCGCTCTTGTTACCCAGGCTGGAGTGCAATGGCGCGATCTCGGCTCACCACAACCTCCACCTCCTGGGTTCAGGCAATTCTCCTGCCTCAGCCTCCCGAGTAGCTGGGATTACAGGCATGCACCACCATGCCCAGCTAATTTTTTGTATTTTTAGTAGAGACGGGGTTTCACCATGTTGACCAGGATGGTCTCGATCTCTTGACCTCGTGATCCACCCGTCTCAGCCTCCCAAAGTGCTGGGATTACAGGCTTGAGCCACCACGCCCGACTCTCGTGCAGTTTTAATCTGAGTCTGTGCAACGTAGTATCCATCCAAAGATTTAAAGGTTTTCTTTATGCATATTTCTGGGGGTTCTTTGCCTGTGTAGCTTTCCCCTGTCCAGTATCCGCGCCACAAAATTCCAACCTCTGCCTCCCTGAACTCAGATATCACTCTCCCAAACTCAGAGAGCCTGCTGTGCTCGGCTTGGGATAAGCTGTGGTCCAGAAAGTACCTCCAGGAAGGAAGTTGGACAATTACAGGGCTCGTCTCATCTGTTTCCCTTCTCTCAGGGATTACCTGTAATGTCTGTGTACAATGCTGGAAAACAGTTGTTTCATATATTTTTTCCAGTTTTCTAGTTGCTTTGGCAGGAGGGCAAGTTTTATACCAGCTACTCTTTGATGGTCAGAAGTGGAAGAGTCTTTTTTCTCTAAAAATACATATACACACACGGTCTCTTTTTTCCTGGATGCTGTTATACCTGGTTGTGATGCTAATGTGTGTAAGCCAAGCTACAGACACAAGGGAGCTACCTGCTGACAAAATGAGTGTGACAAAAATGACAGGAAACAAAGAAATGTCCTGGGTCCTCAAAGGCATCCATGATTCACTGAACTAACCAACTCTGGAGCATCCTACCCTGGACAACTGTTGCTGTGTGAGAAAAGAGTTTTTCTTCCATTTTAAGAAATTGGGTTGGGGTTTTTGTTATTTGAAGTCAAAATATCCTGGCTTAATACAAATCAGTATACTAATATGGCAAGTGCTTAGTAATTGTTAGCAAGTAATATTTAAATATAATTATCAAACACTGTGTTACCTAAGTGGAAAATTGTTTCATGTACATTCTCTCAATGTCATAGCAAAACTAGGGGGTAGGTAGTAGCATTAACCCCATTTTACAGATGCCACACGTGAGGCTGAGAGAAGAACACCCTTTTCAAGCTTACAAATTTAACTTATGGCACAGCCAGGATCCAGTCCCAGCCTCCCCTGACTTCAAAATTACACTGTTATTTAGTCTCCATAATGTCGATTTTCAAGTCTATAAATTTAATCTAGATCATAGTTATTTTCACATAGTTATCTTTCACCATTGAATAATGAAAAAAGTACCTTACAACACAGGGACCAAGGACACCTGAATGTTTGCCCAGACTTAGTAGGGAGAAGAAAGTTCTAATCCTAACCTTCTGGCTGCCTGTTTCAGAGCAGAAAGATGCGTGTGCCGCCTGCTCTGGTAGCTTCATCATAATAAAGGGTATCTGAACGGGAAAGCTGAGCAGGCAATGGGAGTCAGAGTTAGGTCCAGAAACATCAGAAGTGCAGCAAGGCCAAACTACACAGCCTGGGGGTGTCACCGGGGCCACCTGAGCTGGAGGAAGTTTTCCAATCAGCGTCAGTGACACAGAAGATGTGAAACAACAGTGGCTGGAGAGAAGCCCCCAAGACCCATGTCGGGATCCTGTTATGGTCAAGAACCTGAAGGTCATTAGTTTAGAGATGCTAGAAAGAGCCCCTGGTCTCTAAATTGTACCCTGTCCCTGCCATGAATGCCAAAGTCAGGTTTAAGGCGTGGGGAGACACAAAAAAATGCAACACGTGGTGGTGGCATCCAAACACAATAAATCTCCTAGCAATGTCCTGCTTTAGCCACTTTGCGCAAGGGAAGTTTCTGAGGGCTACAATCGGTGGAGAGGAAGGGAGAGAGGGAGCGAGGGAGAGAGGGAGCAGGGAAAGGAGACGGGACTGCGGTGGTGGGGCAAAATGCCCAACACTGGAGTCCCACGAGGCCAGCATCACTGCTGCATCCTTTTGTAATTCTCAACTCTAGAACGGGCATAAGGCACATTTCTGTTCCTAACTGGTGCCTTTCCCATAGAAGTTGGACAGTACTGGAGTGAGTGATAAGTGAAAACACATTACCAACTAGGAGGAGGGCACCTGGAGGTGTGTGTGCGTGAGTGTGTGTGTGTGTGCGTGAGTGTGTGTGCGTGAGTGTGTGTGTGCGTGTGTGTGTGTGTCTGTTGAAGGGGCGGTGAAAAGGAAGGAGACTCACCTTTTTCTCCTCCAATCCCAGAAACCTGAAAATGACAGTAATTTGGGTAGAACTGCCTTCAGAAGTAGGGAGTAGACAAGAGAAATCTGAGCATGACTGATGAGTAAGAAGAGCAACAAAGATTGCGTTAGCCATGGACGAGAACATGGAAAAATGGAAACAGTGAATTTGTGTGGGGGGAGCAGGGAGGATTATAGATGATTTTTACGTCTGTTATTTCAATAAATAGCTTCCTTTAAAAAACACATCCTGTGTTTGAAAGTCAGGATTCTGTCTGGATATTCCTGAGTCTCCCATTTCAGGAATGTGACTCCCTGCCCTACAGGGTGGCAGCACTTTAACTTAATCCCAAGAACAAAGAAGGGAGACTTTGCCACATTTTAATGGCCTCCAGCTGCAGACCAGCCCGTCCCCAGCCTCGGCCTTAGCCGCACCCTCTGAGTGTTCTGCTTCTGCGCTCCCCACGTTTGGCTGCCTCTGAGATCAACCCCCTGGAAAATGTGACTGCCAGTGTCACCATTTGCAGGAACCAGCCAGCCTCTGGTGTGAGGAGTCTTGCTGGCTTTGCATTTCCCAGGTTCTCCCGTGGTGAGAAACCCAGGCCGATCTCTCTTCTCTGCAGCTGCACGGTCAGCAGAGACGCTTTGCTGAGAGACACTCTGCTAAGTCATGACGTGGGCTGCTTGGTCCAGAAATCTGAAGGCCTGACAGTCCCATCCAGTGGCCGCTCCAGCATAGATGAAATGATCCAACGTGGCTCCCTCCAGCTTCTCTTTCACAACGTCTCACAGGGAAGGTACAGCAAGGAAAAACCCCTTTCATAAATCACCAGATTCAAAAGTCACTCCCCTGTTCTCCCAGCAAGAAGAATCTAGATTCTTAAATTATTTCCTATATTACGAATGATAAAGTTTTTAAAATTTAAAAATTAAATGAAATGGTATGGTGGTTCCTCAAAATATGGAAATAAAATTGCCTTATGATCTGATAATTCCATTCTGTTTTATTTATATCATATCTACATTGTATAATTCCACTTCTGGATCTATACCCAAAAGATATGAAATTGAAAGCAGGTGGCTCATGCCTGTAATCCCTGCCCTTTGGGAGGCTGAGGCGGGTGGATCACCTGTGGTTGGGAGTTTGAGACCAGCCTGGAGAAACCTCATCTCTACTAAAAATACAAAAGATTAGCTGGGCATGGTGGTGCATGCCTGTAATCCCAGCTACTCGGGTGGTTGGGGCAGGAGAATCACTTGAACCCGGGAGGCAGAGGTTGCGGTGAGCCAAGATTACACCATTGCACTCCAGCCTGGGTAACAGGAGTGAAACTCCATCTCAAAAAAAAAAAAAAAAAGAAATTGAAAGCAGACAGGGAAAATGTGGCACATACACACCATGAAATATTATGTAGCCATCAAAAACAATGAGTTCATGTCCTTTGTAGGGACATGGATGAACCTGGAAACCATCATTCACAGCAAACTGACACAAGAGCAGAAAATGAAATACCACATGTTCTCACTTATAGGTGGGTCTTGAACAATGAGAACACATGGACACAGGGAAGGGATCATCACACACTGGGGTCTGTTGGGGGGGAATAGGGGAGGGACAGTGGGGGGTAGGAAGTAGGGGAGAGATAGCATGGGGAGAAATGCCAGATATAGGTGATGGGGAGGAAGGCAGCAAATCACACTGCCACGTGTGTCCCTGTGCAACAATCTTGCATGTTCTGCACATGTACCCCAAAACAAAATGCAATAAAATAAGTAAATCAATAAAAAGAAATTGAGAGCAAGTACTTATACAGATATTTGTATACGCGTGTCATAGCATTACAACAGTTAAGAGATGAGAACAATTCAAGTATCCATCAATGGATGAATAAACAACATGTGATACATACATACATATATATATATATACACACACTCATACATACATATATACACACACACTCATACATACATATATACACACACACTCATACATATATACACACACACACTCATACATACATATATACACACACACTCATACATACATATATACACACACACTCATACATACATATATACACACACACTCATACATACATATATACACACACACACTCATACATACATATATACACACACACTCATACATACATATATACACACACACACTCATACATACATATATACACACACACACTCATACATACATATATACACACACACTCATACATACATATATACACACACACTCATACATACATATATACACACACACACTCATACATACATATATACACACACACTCATACATACATATATACACACACACTCATACATACATATATACACACACACACTCATACATACATATATACACACACACTCATACATACATATATACACACACACACTCATACATACATATATACACACACACACTCATACATACATATATACACACACACTCATACATACATATATACACACACACACTCATACATACATATATACACACACACTCATACATACATATATATACACACACACACTCATACATACATATATACACACACACACTCATACATATATACACACACACACTCATACATACATATATATACACACACACTCATA